GGAGGCCAGGGAAGTTGAGGCGCCCAAGGGTAGCTTCCACAGGGACTGGAGGGTCCTGCCGGTTGCGCCTAGGAGGAGGGACTCCACCAGGAGGAGCAACCGGCGGTCCGGCTACAGTATCAGGGGAGGTGGGGTGCACTCCCAAGCGGAAATGCGCGGCATCACCAGCACGGACAAGAGTGGCAACAAACCCAAAGAACTCATCAACCGGGAGGGACACAGCGAAGGGCTCACCAATGGTGTCGGTAAAATCTCCAACAACAACGGGGTCTCCATTGTCAAGGGTGATGATCACGGGACGGGTGAGGATTCCAACCTTGGTATTCCAGATGCAAGCAAACTGGGAAGCATTGCTGGGATCCCCAAGCACCTGCTGGCGATGGTTGTTGTTCATGCCAGGCTGGAGGGTACGACGGAGGAGAGCCGAAGTAGTTTCATCGGTTCCTCGGGCACGAGAAAACGTTTGGACGGGTCCATTCTTTCCGCGACGGAGAGAGAGCTGACGAGCAGACATGGCAGGCAAAGGCTAGCGATGGTTGGCAGGAAGCAAGGGCGGGTTTTGGACTCAGTAAGGAATCGACTTGTGAGTTCAATCTGCCCTTGGGGCTCAGGAAATCCCGAAGCGAAATATTGATCCCCACGGCCAATACAGGCCGAGCTAACCAACGACCGGCCGCATGTGGCGGACACTCGGCGAACTAGGACCGTCCCTGTATCGGCAACAGTAAAGGGGATGCTGTTGACGGACGACAGGTTGGGGCTAGGCAACCAGAACGTATATCCCTTAGTGTTGTCTTAGATGTTCAAATATGCAAAACGGCCATCTACGCCAGAAATTGGTGGACCGAGGGGAGTCGCCTCGCGCGGCCCTCTGGGCGACGAATGCACGACTGGGGATTAGAGGGCGTCTCCGTATTAAATCCAGGGGTCCCCCCAGGTGGACGAAAATTCAGCGTGACGTACGCGAGAGGTGCGTATGAACCTCCACGGGTAACCATGGGGTGCGAACCTCCACGGGTCACCACGTGGTACGGTGGCAAGAAAGCATCCACCATGGCGGGAGACAGGAGAAATACGTCTAAGACGGCCATGATGGCACGTCTAACTGCTACTGCTAGGATAACTAAATAATGGTAAAGCCCAAGGGGCATGTTCCTTACGACCGTGATCGGTCCTTGCGGCTCTTAAGAGCAATCGACAAGAGGAGTGGGGAGGCGATCAAACGGCGCCTATGGGTCCAAGAAGGACGGGATCACCTGTGGTCGAAGACACACAGGGTCCGGTGAAACTCCTACACCAGCGCCTGACTATGCAGGACACTAGGCAGAAGGCACCATAAGAGAAAGGGACCATGGACGGCAAAAAGCAAAATTCCATGGTCCAAAAGCATGTTGGTGGCATCCAGCAATCAGGAAACCAAAACAGTGGGCTGCTTTGGGTTGATTGCTGGCTCCTTCAGCCACATACAGGGTGGCGGGCCAGACTGGTCACTCCAGCAGACATTATGCCCTGCTGGCTTGGAGTCTTGGCTTCAAAGCGACAACTGGCAGAAGACTCCAGTACTGAAGAGCAGTTCCAAATATCCTCATGTTCTCAACAAAGTCTCCGCCATCGCCACATGGTTGCGAGCCTCAAAGGCTTGGATCTTGTACGTACAAAGGTATCGTTTTAGACAGCAGAGATGTGATGACATGAATCAATCGTGCAGTTTCGGTGTTCCGCCCATACTTTTACGTACGCACCAGGCAGTCGTACCGGTACCGGTGTGGTACCAGTACCAGGTATCCTGGTCAGGCAGCTATTACTGCACAAGGCTACAAAATAGATGCGGTGCTGGCTGGGATAGTTAGCCAGCACAGGGCACAATCGAGGAACTGTTTGTGCGGAGTGGAACAAACTACAGTATCACTGTTTGTGCGGAGTGGAACAAACTATTACATGTACCTAAAACGTCGCGACTGCACTGCCAGGATCATTGACGAGCAGCGCCTTATTCACTACCGCTGACTATCAATTCAAAGAGATACTCGAGAAAGCTATCGAGAACATCCACTGTGTTATTCCTCTCCGCAACACGCCGAATGCCATACTCATCCAGAGGACAACCATTGCTGTGCGCATATTTGAGCATTTCCAAATCGCCAGACTTCACAGCATTACTGCATGTGCGATAATCCCACGGACAACGATTCTCATGTGCCCAAACCAAAACATTGAAATGCCCACCTTCAGCAGCTTTGGAGCAGGTGTTTTTGTCCCATGGACAGCCATGTTCATGGGCATATTGCAGTATTTCCAAATGACCCTCTGAGGCAGCGCAGCTGCATGTCCATTCATTCCATGGGCAATCATTTTCATGAGCATATTTGAGACAATCCAAATGACCATTATGAGCAGCCTCCTCGCATGTCTGTTCATTCCAAGGACAGCCCTTTTCATGCAACCACTTCAAGATTTCCAACTGGCCAGCTTCAGCAGCCGCTGAGCACGTATTCCCATCCCAAGGACAGCCCTTTTCATGCAACCACTTCAAGATTTCCAACTGGCCAGCTTCAGCAGCCGCTGAGCACGTCCGTTCATCCCATGGACAGTCACGATCAGGATGTCGGAGCCACTTCAAAAGGTCCAAATGACCACCTTCAGCAGCACCCGCGCATGTTTCCTCATCCCATGGACACCCATTTTCATTAGCCCACTTCACTATTTCCAACTGGCCAAATACAGCAGCTCTTCCGCTTATCTCGTCATCCCATGGACAGCCACGAAGTCGGAGCCACTTCAAAAGGTCCAAATGACCACCTTCAGCAGCACCCGCGCATGTTGCCTCATCCCATGGACACCCATTTTCATTAGCCCACTTCACTATTTCGATGTGTCCACCTTCAGCAGCTAATGTGCATGTGTCCTCATCCCATGGACAGCCATTTTCTCGGAGCCACTCCAAAAGGTCCAAATGACCGCCACTGGCCGCAGCGCTACAGGTTGTTCCACCCCATGGACACCCTTTTGTATGAGCCCATTCAACCATTTCCCTGTCTCCACGCAGAGCCGCAGCGGCAATGGTCTTCCTCGTCAATTGGAAACCCTTGTCATGTGCCAATCGAAGTATCTCAAGGCTGCCGCACTTGGCGATTGCCCTACAAATATCAATTTGGGGAGCATCGCTGGTCCCGTAGTTATCATACCAGTACTTGGTACATTCCGCATTGAAAAATGCGGCATTATAAAATGTTTCTGTGGAGGTTGCCTCCACTTTGACGCCATCCACAGGCTCAACAAACGTAACCATAGGAGGAGATTCCACCGAATCACAATACTCCGAATACAAACCCCTCATTTTCTTGTTGACGGGAGCAACAAAGGCATGCTGTCCCATGCCAAGCATTGGAAAGATGTTGCCAATCCAAATGTCCTTCTCGTCCATGATAGACGTAATGTCAAGAGGCGGGGGGATTTCGGCGGCCATGGTTACTTGGACGGGTGAGGTTGAGAGGTAGATTGCTTGGATTTTTGGATTGTGATCTTTCGCAGCAAAGGAGGGGTTCGGCACCATAGATCGTCCGTAAGTTTGTTTTACGATTAAATCAAAGTTTCAAAATTGACATTTTATATGATAAATTCAGGCTAAACATGAAAGATCCAGAATAGTTTGAAGTGGTTCCCGGACACAGCTTACTTTCACGATTGGCAGCTGCATCTGGGTTCTTCGTCGCTCCTCCCATCTCCACCGCCTTCAAAGATTTCTCTCAAAGACTTGCTACCGACAAGTGGCCATGATGCTGCTGCTGTCCCCTCTTCCTTGCATAATAACAAGCAAGGAGGGGCAAAGCGTTGCCAAGGAGACAGTTGCCGACCACAAGAAAGGCTCCCTTTGTTCTCGCTTTCTTTTCTAGCCAGACTGGAGCCTCAGCTGCTGGTTTTAGTTTGCTGACATGCCTCTTTTGGATCCATCGGTGGTCAAGAGGCAAGGAATTTGCCGCCGTCGACTCATGGTCCTCGCTTTGATCTCGTCCAAGGGCGGTCTTCGCTCTGCAGCCGCCTTTGTTGTGAGGTCGGGAATCCGGAGAAATCCACGTCCAGCAGCGTTTTTGGTGGGCAGTAGCCCGTGGCATCCGGCGGAATCTCCAGTCTCATGGATCCGACACCCTACCAAACCGTTTGGCGTTGCAAGCAGAGCCGTGAGCTCACTCCGTTGCCAGAGTTACGATGAGGAATTGGAAGAAGATGCTGGCATTCACGAGGAAGTCTATGTGGAGGGCATGCCTCTAATCGGTTATCCCCAAAACCCAGAATCAGTGCTAGAAAGCACCAAGGCTGCCTTTGAAGTGACTGCTCCCTTTATGCCTCAAGGAGATCAACCCGCCGCCATTGAGCAGTTATTAATGCAACTGGAAGAAAAGGACCAATTCTCGACCCTGCAAGGCATCACTGGGACGGGCAAAACCTTGGTCATGTCACATGTCATTGCCAAGTATGGACGACCCACGCTGGTCTTGTGCCACAACAAGACACTGGCTGCGCAGTTGGCACGAGAGCTGAGGGCCTTTCTAGGCAACAATGCGGTCGAACTATTTGTGAGCTATTACAATCATTACATACCCGAAAGTTTCAATGAAGCCACCGGCAACTATAACGCCAAGAAAAGCTCGATCAACCACGACATTGACAGCATGCGCCATAGAGCTACGAGAGCTCTTTTGATCCGCAATGATGTCGTAATTGTGGCCAGTGTTTCCTGTATCTATGGGTTGGGATTGCCGGAAGAGTATCTGGATGCTTCCCGAACACTCACTGTTGGAGATGCCGTGGGATCGTCCTGGGAAGATTTCACGGTGGTGTTGGCTGCCATGCTCTACCAGCATGCGCAAGAAGACAATGATTTTGGACGTGGAACGTATCAAGTCGACGACTCTGGGATCGATCACTGCGATATATCACTTTGGCCGCCGCATGAGAGTTTCCCCCTTCGCATTCGACTGGAACGAAGAATGGAACAGGACGCGGCAGCTTCCAATTCGCATGGTGATGGCGATGAAAAGGAGGCGTGGTTTGTGCAATCCATAGAACAAGGCCATGGAGCAGGGCACGACCCTGTCGAGTCAATGGGCCTCTTTCCAGCCAAACATCACGTCATGTCGGAAGAGAGAGTCGAGGCGGCCTGTCTCAAGATTGAAGAGGAATGTGAGCAACGCGTCAAGGAGTTGACGGGAGAGGGCAAACATGCCGAAGCCAATCGCTTGCAAACTAGAGTCTTGAATGACGTTCAAATGATGCGCGAAACTGGATATTGCTCTGGCGCGGAGAACTACAGCAGACACCTCGCTGGTCGACTGGCAGGACAGCCGCCCTCGACGTTGATGGATTATCTCAGTCTGCAGAATCGTCGTGAATGGTTACTCATGATGGACGAGAGTCACGCCACGTTGCCCCAGCTTCGTGCAATGTATGGAGGCGACAGAGCTCGAAAGGAGCGGCTGGTCAAACATGGATACCGTCTTCCTTCCGCGCTCGACAACAGGCCTTTGAAAGAATCCGAGTTTTGGGAGCGCGTGCAACAAACCGTATTCATTTCGGCAACACCAGGCCGCAAAGAGCTTGACCTTGGAGATAGAGACCCTGTGGAAATGGTAGTCCGGCCAACATTTGTTTGTGATCCTGTCATTCAGGTGAAAGGCCGCGATGGCCAGCTCAGCGATCTCGTGGAAGAGGTCAAGCAACGAGCGCAACGTCAGGAACGAACTTTGGCAGTGGCATTGACCAAACGGGATGCTGAAGATCTGTCTTCTTACTTGAATGAACAAGGAGTGCCGAGTACCTTCATACATTGTGGACTCAATACGCAAGAGAGAGCAGATGCGTTGAAGTCTCTGCAAAGTGGTGATGTTGATGCTCTCGTTGGGGTGAATCTGTTGCGTGAGGGGCTGGATTTACCCCAAGTGTCTCTTGTGGCGATCTTGAATGCCGATGCCGAGGTAAGCATCGCGTGGTCTGGGTAGCGTTCCCGTTACGCCTGACCTTACACCACCTTTCTCACGGGTCCAGGGATTCCTTCGATCGGAAACAGCGCTGTTGCAGATGGTTGGAAGGGCCGCAAGGAATGTCCAGGGCACTGCCGTATTCTACGCCAATCGAATGACGAAAAGCATGCAGAAGTGTATAGATGCTACAAACTTGCGAAGGCAACGGCAGCTGGCTTACAATCGTGAGAACGATGTCAAAATGGTTTCTACCACCGGTTCGTCGATGCTTTCGATCTTCGATCTTCTGAAAGATCAGATTGCTGAAGAACAGCCTCTGGAGGTTGTTGGTCGGAAAACTTCCACTTCAAGCAACGTTCAAGGGAACACGGTAACGAGTACCATTCGCCCTGACGGGACTGTTGCGATGGGCAAGAAGACCGACATCAATACAAGTCACATACCCTCGTAAGCGCCTCTTCCATTTTGCTTCCCTTGTTCTCTCGTCACAACCATCCTCACGCTTGTCTCCTCGAACTTTCAGGTCTCCTGGTGTGTATTTTTGGAAGGACAAAGACGATCGGATACTCTACGTGGGGAAGGCGAAGCGCTTGCGTCAACGATTGCGGTACGGAAATACTGCTGAAAGGCTCACTGTTCTTCCTGGGACCCTCACCTCACGCCCCCTCTTGTAACAGGTCGTATCTGGCTCAAGGCGCGAAACACACCAAGAGAATCAATGTGATGATGGAAAAGGCGTGCAGTATCGACTTCGTTCTCACTGGTTCCGACCGGGATGCGCTTCTCTTGGAGTCAAATCTCATCAAGCATCATCAGCCAGCTTACAATGTCCTTCTCAAAGACGACGAGACGTACCCGTACATCTGTGCTTCCCTCGGCGACGTTTCCCCCCGTTTCTTTGTTGTACCCAGGCGTTATGAAGCCAGCCAATCGACCAAGAACTACAAGTACTTTGGCCCATACGCACACTATCGAGAGATCAATGCTGTCTTGGAGGGCATAGAATCAACATACGACTTGCGAGCCAAATCTTTCGTTGCCAGGCATGGTTCGGGAGACATCACTCGCGAAAAATACAACGAATTATTTCAGCAAGCTTTGGACGAGAACTTTGGACCAAGTTCCTCGCATTCCTCCAGCTTGGCGGCAATGAGGACCGAATTTGAAGAGGCTGGGATTCTGTTTGACCCGACACTTACCTCCAGCCGTGATGTCGTTGCCCTTGAAGGTATACCTGGCTCAGCTGAGGATGCCTTGGTGCACGTGGTGCAGTTCCGCAATGGCATAATCGCTGGGCGATTCTCGTATCGGCTACAGTTGGCCTCCGGAATCGACAACGAAGATGACCGGGCAGCTGCTATCTTGCACGTGCTGGAGAGAAAGCACTACCCATCCGGTGGACAGTCCCCCGACGGGAGCTTCTCCTTCTTCCCTGAGGAGGTTCTCGTTCAATATCTCCCTAAGGACACCAAAGACTTGAAGCTGACGATACGAGAGTGGCGTCGGAAAGTAGAACCCGAGCGCTCGGACAAGATAGTTGTTCGTGACATTGCGAAGAAAGGGAAACGGCAAGAGTCCGACGAGCGAGCTATGCAGTTTGTCATGGTCAATGCGAAGCAGGTGGCCTTCGAGCGCTCGCTCGAAATGGCAAAGAACGCGGTTAAATCATCGGTCGACGGAACAGGTAAGTGCGGCTCTACTAAAGGAGAGTCACTTTGCATTTGCGGCTGACAACTGCCTCCTCACACTTCGTCCTTTGACCACAGCGTTGACCGAGTTGGCTGCCTTGCTTGATCTTGAACACATACCGCACCGTATCGAATGTTATGACGTGAGCCACAGCCAAGGAGAGTTTGCTGTTGCATCGAGAGTTGTCTTTGTAGATGGCAGGCCAGTCCCAAGCTTGTACCGAAAGTTCAACATCAAATCGGTTGACGGACCTGATGACTATGCGAGCCTAGAAGAAACCCTTGCCAGGCGATTCAAACATGTGTGGGTGAACGGGCATGGTGGTCTCGTTGAGGAAGACGACCCCTGGGCTTTGCCTGATGTTGTACTCATCGATGGTGGCAAGGGGCAGCTCCACGCAGCAGCAAAGGGAATGGCAAAGGCGCGGGTGTTCCCGGCTGAAGGAAAGAAGGAACAGTCGCCTCCAAACGGATCAAAGCGAGGTGCCTCCGTGGCTTTATGTTCTCTAGCAAAGAACCACGAGGAACTGTTTGTGTTTGGGGCCAAGGCGCCCGTGAACGAGGCGCCTGATTCGCCTGCATTGCTTCTGCTACGAGCACTGCGAGACGAGTCCCATCGCTTCGCCCTGAGCGCACACAGATCGAGAAGGTCGATCCGCAAAGCTATGAACGGAACTGCAGCCATGACGCCATGAGCCCCCAACCGCAAAGCTGAGCTCTGTCGAAGCTGTGGAGCCAACAGCAAGGCACCGTCGTCAAAGCTTAGGTTAGGATACCTGTAAGCTATTCAATATCTTTGTGTTGCCATTCTACAGAATAGGTTGAGAGTTGGGAGAACCTAGACGGAGCTGGTGAGATTGCGGCTTTGCTAGTTTGCATATCTAGTGACTCGACTCCTCAATCCTACAGGATTCGATTTGCGTCTGGCCTTCGTCCCAAACGTGCGCTACTCCTAGCTAGAAAAAATAAATAAGAACACGCACCGGTACCGCACAAAGTAGGTACGTACTCGCACGCTCTGTACCCACCCGTGCTTTTTGATGGAAAGTATCGCTGAAAGTTGAAGTGGTGAGAATGCTTTTGGCTCTTCCTCCTTCGACTACCAGCGCTAGCTAGCTAGCTAAAGATGATGAAACGTTCATGAGAGAAGAAGGATGTGTAGTGACAACAAGAGTTATCAGGTTAAAAGTAGAACAAAACTGTATCAAAATTGGGGAATAGGGAAGCGTGTAATCGTAGCCATGTGTGGTTCAAAAATGTAGAGGTGTTTCTCAGAGCTCCAAGTCGAAAATAAGCTCATCGTCCGCGTCGCTTTGAACGACTGCTGGAGTTTCTTGATGATATCTCTCCGCAAAACTTTCTTGGTGATAACCTCGGCTCAGATGCTTGGGCGGATACCTGGGCAGGGTGGCCATTGCACTTCTCACGCTCAATATGGAGGTGAGGGAGTTCGCAGGAGGTATCATGGGCTGCTGCTTGGCAGGCCGAGAAGCTTGTATACGATCAAACATCCTCCAAGTCGAGCTCTCGTAGTATCGCTTCTGATCTTCACTTGTCAGAGGTGACGGACTGATGCCGTCTCCTCGTCTTGTCGTAGACACGCGGATGGGAGGAGTCGATGTAGGTGTTACCGGAGCCACCACCATTGGTTTGGGCGATAGTGCCACAATTCCCACCCCTCTACTACTAGGGCGCGAAGCCATGCTCGGTGTCGACACCAATTGTGCTCTGGGTGCTTCCATTCGGTTGGCCATGGTGCAAACGTAGTTGTTGGACAAGGGAGAGCAATGTAGCTACCGGTACGGCGGAGAGTGAATACAATTGTTGTAGTGCCTACTGACTAATGAACCATCAGCAACCATCAAAGCAAGCTGTTCCGCACGCAAATTTGATTGAAGATTCGAATGCTAATGCTATGATTCGATTCATTCATCAGTCAGTGGCTGACAACGCGGTGACATACAAATTCTGAATGCTGTCAGCGCGAATCGAATCCTGCTGCCTTTGAACCAGAGAGAAGATTCCTTGGAAAACTCTCCAACAAAGCACGAAGAAGAACTGAAGGTCGCTGAATGGTAAGGGCATCAGGTTTTAAGTGTTTCCTAATTGTTGAAGGCCTCGGGTAAGCCAGGATTTAACAATTTGTCTTCTAGGATTCCAAATCAAGCAATCTACTGTATCCTAATATTTCGTGCTTGGTCTTGGCCATGGGTGATCTCGTTTATTCGCGGATAGCCAGCCACCAGAGCTCACCAGCCACCTGGCCACCAAACGGTACCGGTACCAAGTAAGGCATGCATTGCGTAGGGGCTCTTATGCTATTTAACAAACACATCATCACTTTTTGACCACTGTTGAGACGCCTTTCCTGTCTGGAACTGTCGCAAGCCTCAAGTAGCTTCGCCTTTGGAGTGGTCAGTTTGAAGCCAATTCCTTGTGCACGAATGGAAGGATCACAAAAATGCTCCTCCTCATTGGCTTCCGAAACTGCTTCCTCGAACAAAATCGGAACCCCGCAGTACCAACTCCGTCTGATTGCCCGTGCGTCGAGAGCAAGAAAGGAGTGGTGAGAGATTGAAGTTATGAGCCACACAAAGATCGACTGGTACCGTATCCAAGCTGCAACTAGCCAGCAGAGCGATTGCAGAACAGCTTTCGGCGCTGTTCTCTACTAGTACATATTTTCGCAGGTTTTTGGCAGCAAAGGCTTTTCGCTACGAAGCTGTCGGCGAGATCTATCTCAACGTGGTGACAGAGTTGATGTCTTGCTGGTCTGAAGATGCATGCTTGGTCTGGCATTGGTGTAGCAGCTTCGTCGTACTTATCACACAACTATTCACTCCAATGAGTATTATTGTTTGGATGCTAAACCTACCTGGTAACATTTCCACTCAACCCCTGCGGACTTGCCTGCTGAGTGAGCAAGATGCCTCAATTTACTATTGCCAAGGAGGCAACTTGTCTCGCTTCTCTGTGCTAACTAGTAGCAGACAAATCTACATGTGCCACAGCTAGCTAGGGATGCATGCTAGCAATCCCTGAAGTGTCACTGGAACCTTTTATCTATTCAATGTTGCCTCTCATCATCTGTTTCTCAAAGCTCCATCCCACCAATACCCACCGGTACCGTCGGAACTGGGGTTTGCTGTCGAAGCTCGAGGGAAACAACCTGACTGGAGGCCTGCCTCACGAATTGAGTGCTTTGGCCGGAAACGGATCAATTGTGGCAATGGATGCATCTGGGAATGCTCCTCTCTTGACAGGGACCGTGCCGCATGCGACAATACCATTGTGCATTGATTAATCTAACGATCTAAGAGATGTAAAGTTTGTATTTCCAAATAAGTG